CTTACTACTAATGTATGTAGTCTCCAGGTAGGTCATAAAATAATAAGCTATCATTCATGGCTTTATCTCTGCACCTGTTTTCCCTGAGAGAAACCACGTCATAGTGCTGAACCTGTTGGCATCATTCTAAAGCCAACAAATGGAAATCTGTCAGAGGAGAAGCGAAGTATCCATCCATCTGTGTATGTGGAAGAGAGAGTCATTAGCTCCAAGTGCACAGTGCTGGAAGAGAGAAAAATCCGTTTAGCAATGTCCCACGCTGTGAGCACTCACTGCTATAACAGCAAATTCTGAGCATCTGCCCATAGCATCACTGGAGTTCCTCACCTCTGAACTACTGCCTTGCAACCAAGAAGGAACAGGGTGTAATTTATGAAACATAGCACACCGCCAATGAGCTTTTCTTGAGAGATTGCACTAACATCTTTATTATTTGCTTAATAGCACTATATTAAAAATATATTTATAATTTAAAATGTTGCACCTCCATGCTAGGAGAACCACTTTTTCCTCACATGCAAACTACATGTTTAACATTGGATATGATGGTTTCGATAAAATAGATTAGGCACCAAAGCTTTTTAACATGGTTGATGTGTGAGAAAATAGCCTGGGAAATTCCTCTCTGGAAGTTTAGAGGCTACTTGGATGTGAGATAATTGTTGATAGACGTTACACCAACATGTTTTAACTTCTTCTATAAATGACGAGTCATTTCAGTCTCTGTGTCTGTCTGTCTGTCTCTCTCTGTCTCTGTCTGTCTCTGTCTCTGTCTCTCTCTCTCTGAGGGGGAATCTCATAACCTGAGGATTTCTCAGTATCTCTCTTTGATGGGTGGTTCATTACCCAATGATAGGAGAAAGGTTTGTAGTCAAGAAATCAAAAATTCTTGGAAATAAAGTGTGAGTATGATTGGGTTAGGAGTGGGGATTGGTTTAACACTTTCATGCTGAATGAGACACACAGGACTACGGTAGAGGAGTTAACTCCTATGGTTTTCCTCTAGTATAAGCCAGAGAGTATGAAATGTTTTAGTAAGTGAGGCAAACAAAAGCAAGGATAAATGCAAAAGATCTGAGACAGCCACTGGCAGAGAGAGAGAGAGAGAGAGAGAGAGAGAGAGAGAGAGAGAGAGAGAGCAGACCAAGGTGATCCTAGGGGTACCCAGTGCCAACTACCTAGGTCTCCTCTAGCTACTGACCCAGGGACTACAGTGGCAGAGTGTCAGACTCGGAAGTACAGGCTGGGGCATCCACTGGGCAGGTGACTGTGTGAGGGCCATGGAAACTCAAGGCACATCAGCCCACAGGAGATGCTGTTCCAGATAGGATAAGATGTAGGATTCCAGACTCTAGTTGCAAATGTTACCTAACTGCAGCCAGGAAGCACCACAGTAGCAAAGGATCAGAGGCAGAAGGTGGAAGGCCTGGAAAGACTTACCCAGTCATTTTCCCTGCTAGGATGTGTAAAAGCTCCTTGAAGATATTAGAGCATTTAGTAATAATAAGAGAAAAAAGGGGCACTAGCTATGAAATTGTACAAACTTAAGCAAAAGGTCACAATTTAAAAAATAGCTAATTAAATTATCAGCTCAATTGGCCCTTTTCTCCCAGCTAACCAGTTTGAAGGGGTTTGGAATAATGTTTGTAATATTTAAAACCAAAATGACAAACTATGTGTGCTGCCGCTGAGCACAAAGTACTAAGGAAAAATATTACAAATCTAAGCTGTAAGCTCAACTTCACATCTGCTACCTTGCTATGACTTTGAAAAATCAAAATATGTAAGTACCGCTATCCTTAATCCTTTTGTGATGATATATAGAACTATTCGAAGCTGGACTTAGAGGGCATTTGAACCACTATCATACTGGAATTACTGCCCTCAAATGTTTGAGAGATACCGTTTTCTTTCATTTTGCTGCTGCAGAAGGTAGTGCCTGTTTTTTGTTGTTGTTCTTGGTTTTTTGTTTGTTTGTTTTTTGCTTTTTAATCCTCACTAATCCTGTTATAGCCTCCAGCAAGGAAATGGCCAAACCTGAACAAGACATAAAATGTGTCCTCTTTAAAACCTGATTTTTCTATTTCTTTTCTGCACTACCCCTTTAATACTTTTAAGAGAAACTTCTCCCAGCCATTATCATTCCTCTGATGTAAATCAGCAATTATTTACTTCACAACAAAACCTGAGGTCCTGAATGAGGGCAGGGAGTAATTTAATCTGGGAAAACCAGAGGCATTGTCTGATCTGTGTGGTGACAACAGAGTGTAACCCAGGTCATTGCTTGCTGTTCACACTTATTCAACAGTTGTTATTGCTTCCTTCTTTTGCTCTTCTTTCTCCTTCCTCCTCCTCCTCAGTCTCCCCCTTATACTCCTTTCCTCCAACAACAACAACAACAATCACACACGCGCTCACACACACACACACACACACACACACACACACACACACACAGAGAGAGAGAGAGAGAGAGACACACACACACACAACCAGGATTCCCATTTTAAAGAAAATAATTCAAAGGATAAATTCAGTCTTGGAAATTTTCAAAGATAGGCTGAAATTTTCCTAAAAGCTATATCAATCAGCCCTTCGTGTTCAAATAACCTCTTGAAACAGTAAGATTCAAATGGAAGCCAGACAACTTGCAACAGCTCAGTACATCTGTTTATTCAGTTACTATCACAATGGCGACAGGTTAAGAGCACTACATTTCTAACCTGTTAAGATGATAACGATGGAGATTTCAGTTTGTAAAGTTCACTGTTCTTAATGATTAAAAAATGATTTTAACAGAAGAATGATTGTGTATTATACTATTCGTAGGAAAAGATCTACATTTTCTGGCTTATGATCAAAAGCATATTTGTTCATTTCTTTACACAAAACATAAGAGACATGTTAACTCTTGGTTACTGATTTTAGAAAAGCATGGTGCTCTCAAAGCAAATGTGCACAAAACATCTTTTACAATAGTGCATTCAGTCATTGTATGTTGTGTCAGTGGGAACCCAGTATCCCAGGACCACTGGCATACATGGGCTTACTTAAACAACCAACTGAGATATATATGCTTTCAGTGTCTCTTATGTACAAACCAGCACACCAAAGAATACAGGAAACGCAAACGAGTGAAAGGAAAGGTCTTCCCTCTGCTCGGATTTCCAATGGAGTTAGTAAATGCAGACATAATTACTTCAATCCCATTCCTAACAGAAGTGACCTTGTTAATAGGATGTATGTAAGAATCATCTCTGCTGGAACCTTGAAAAGGCAGCAATATCTTCAGCAGTGATTCAAGTCTCTGAGTGACATTTCTCAGTTCCAAGTTTGTGTGCTACTTGAACCTGAAACTGAAAATGTCCCAGCTGGAGTCACACTTGTCACTTTGTGGCTGTCCTTTTAATTGCTTCATGAACTTGTGACAGTCGGTCAAGATAAACAAATCTATCTTTCTCTATCTAGGTATATATATACACACACACGCACATACATGATTTGTGCATAGCAGCACATACACACACACACACACATCACAGACAGTGTGATTTCCCCCTGTTTCTTGGAACACCAGGAATTCAGGTCTTTCACTCTGCACTGACAGAAGTTAACCCAAATTACCATTTATTTATTTTAATAAGACAAAAACTGCAATAAAAAAGTACATAAAATCTCCAAACTTCACTGGACATAAGCAAAAAATTGGAAGGGCTGAGAAAAGGCGAGGAGAATCCAAAAGAGGGAAACTTTTGAAGGGGTCTTACGGTTGGGGGCTTTTCTCTACTCCTGCACCGTTCCACACCCTGAGCCCCCAGGAGTCCCAGAAACAGCCTTGTTAGGCAAGCAGAGAAACTGAAAGCAGAAACACACTACTTCCAACCCACAAATAAATAAATAAATAAATATGTTAAACAAAAAATAACTTATTAGGCACCGCTTGAAAGGCAGGAACCCTCAGGGACCTGACAGGCTGCAACAACCACCCAGCTTTTGCAAAGGCCCTGCAGTTGTCACTGGAGGAGCCTGAGCCAGACCTGCTACTTACTCTAGAGCAGGAAACAGAATCTTTTGTTATTCTAGGGAAGAAACCAAGGGGAACTTCTTTAATTCAGGTGCACCCGCCAGGGTGCCTAAGTCATTCAGGAGCCGGGAGCGCCCCTCAGTGGGACTTTGGAACCCAGTGCTCAAGTTCTGAGCTAGTCTAAGGGGAGGGTGGCTTGGTGGCTTCTATGACGCCCACATCCACAACCCAGGAATCTTACAAACCAAACTTGTTCTTTGCTTGCTCTCAGCTCCTTCTTTTTCTACTGCAAAGGAGGAAGTGGGTGGAGCTATACCAAGTCTGGGGTTCTGAGTGCACTACCTTTTCATACACACCTAGCTCTGCTGGCGGGGAGGGGGAGAAGGGGCGGACTGGAGCGTTGGGAGGAAGGGCTCAGGGAAAGATGCGCCTTCTTTGAGAAGTCGCTGGGTTATCCTCAAACTGGGCTTTCTTAAAAGTAAGGCTGTGCAAAGTGACAGCGGTGATTGGGGACAGTCTGATAGCCGCTCTGAGCAGAGTCTGGCCCGCTGACCTGCGCAGCGTCCAGGGTTCAGCACAAGCTGGGGACTCAGCCCAAAGGAAACACATGGCGAAAACTGTGGCTCAGCTTAAAGAAACAGAAATATCTTGAAAGGATAAGGGTCAAACTGAGTTGACCACGTTAAGTTTGTGGTTTGAACTAGCAGAACAGGGAGGGAGCATTGAAGTTACCGGGTTTGGAGAATAGAGTTGTTCAGAGTAGCAAGAGCCGTGTAGGAAAAAGAAAGGGCAGAGAAGGCGGCCCGAAAGCCTTCCCAGTTGACCTACAAATCTCTCCATTTTACCTTGGTCACATGACTTTCCTAGGTCCTGCTGACCAGGTGCGCTACACTGTACCTGCTGTCCCTTTCATTCACTCGCACCCGCTCCTCCCTCCCCTTTCTGACCACTCTCCCCCTCCCTGCCGTGCCCGGCCTCAAAGTGTGCTGATCCTGGATGCGCAGGTGCCATTACGGAAAACGGCTCCAGACTCCAGGTTCTCGGGCTGGAAGTCCTCTACACTGTAGGCGCGACTCTTCAGGGCGGTGGCGTAGTAGTCAACCGGCTCCTCCGCAGCGTTGTCCATCCAGCTGAGACACAGGATGCGCTGGAAAGAGCGCTTGAAGTTGTCCGACAGGAAGCCGTAGAGGATAGGGTTGGCACAGCTGTTGGCGTAGCCTAGGATGACAGACAACTGGCTTACGGTGGCGTCGTCTTGCTCAGCGAACACATTGACCAGCTGTACCACGTAGAAAGGCATCCAGCAGATGACAAACACCATCACCACCATCATCACCATTAAAGTGATCTTGCGCTCTGAGCGCTTGCGCTGCTGCCAGCCGGCCTTGAGGGCCACCATGCGCATCTTGGCAATGATGAGCACGTAACACAGACAGATGGCCCCGACAGGCAGCAGGAAGCCCATGAGAAATGTGTATAAGACGAAGCCCACCAGCCAGCGCTGGGCGGGCTCGGGCATGAGCATGTTGCAGGCCACCGTGCCATCGCTGTTGGCGGCTGTGCGTGAGAAGACCACGATGGGCAAGATAACCAGTAGAGACAGAACCCACACACCCAAGTTCACCACCTTGGCTACAGTGGGACGACGGTAGCGCGCTGCCTTGATCGGGTGCACCACAGCCACATAGCGATCCACACTAAGCACAGTCAGACAGTAAATGCTGGTGAACATGTTGACCGCGTCCACGCTGAGCACAAGGCGGCAAAGTAGCGCGCCAAAGGGCCAGTGGCGCAACAACGTGGAAGTGACCAGAAAGGGCACGCTGAGCATGAGCAGCTCATCAGCAATAGCCAGGTTGAGAATGTAGATGTTGGTTGCAGTCTTCATTTTGGCATAGCGCAGGATCACGTAGATGACCATGGAGTTCCCACACAGTCCCACCAAGCATACCACGGAGTAGATGAAGGAGATGAGAATGGCGCTACCCTGGCCCTCGCTTAAGGTCCCGTTCTGGGAAGCGTTTCGTCCTGGCTCCTCCATACCCCCCCCCGCGCCGGCCCCGGGGCCCCTG